ATCAGCATCATCATCATCAGCATCATCATCATCGTCATCATCATCATCAGCATCATCATCATCATCACCATCATCATCATCATCATCATCATCATCCGCATCATCATCACCAGCAAGACCATCATGATCTTCAGCATCATCAACAACAGTAGCATCATCACCATCAGCGTCAGGCTCATCAGCGCAACCACCATCATCACCACCATTATCATTACCATGCTCCTCACCATCACCATCACCAGCACCACCCTCACCATCACCATCATAAATGGCAAACAGCGCAAACAGTAGCATCATCAGCAGCAGCATCGTTTTCACCAGCATCATCACTATCACCATCACCATCACCATCACCACCATCACCATCATCAACATCATCATCATCATCATCATCAGCATCAGCATCATCACCATCACCATCACCATCACCATCACCATCAGCATCAGCATCATCAGCATCATCAGCAGCATCAGCAGCATCAGCATCATTAGTATCGCCACCGCCACCACCTCCATCAGCATCAGCATCATCATCATCATCATCATCATCATCAGCATCATCATCATCATCATCATCATCATCATCAGCCTCATCATCATCATCATCATCGTCATCATCATCATCATCATCATCATCATCATCATCATCATCATCATCCGTTGCATCCTCCCTCTTGCCGTGTGTCGGCCCACACCCAGCTTCGCACCTGCAGTAGCACTTAGAAGGCAGCAGCACGAGGCTCGCACTTGACAACCAGATTCGTCGAGTGCTTCAAACCCGCCGACGATGTCGACGTGTGAGTCGTCCTCGTCGTTGTCGCCGCTACCCCTAAAGCATTCCAGCCAGAGGGAAATCGAACAACGTCGTAATCGAGTCGAAGGGAAGCCCCTTCCGTTTGATCCCTCCACCATCGTCGTCGTCCCCCTTCAGGGTCGGCGGCACTGGCCGTAAGGTCTCCGCAATAAGAACGCCATGCCAAACTCAAAGGGCCTTTAAATAGCTGGCCGAGTGTTCCAAGATGATTGCAAAAGACCCCGTATGTTTTGACACATGGCCCCATAAGCACTCCAGGATCCCCGAAACAGCTCACAAGCGGCACAGGATGACCCGAGCAATGTGCACCGACCGCGTTGGGGTCTCCAGGTGTATGATATTTCCCCCACCTCACCCCCCCCAGGCCACCCCCCCAAATCCCCCCCACCAAATACAAAATTGCACGTTCGAGGGGGGAGGGAGGGCAGGTCCAGGACGACCCCCAGGTGAGCTCACCCAGGGGTCCCAGAGGCGCAGGACGGCACAAAGAGGCCCTCAAGAAGCTGCAAAGAGGGCCCAAGGCGGGCCAAGACCTCCAAGTTACTCCCATACGGCTCAATAGAGGCCCAAGACGGTCCAAAAGGGCAGAAGACGGTACAAGGGGACCCAGGACGGCTCCAGAGATCTACAAACGCATCCGCAAAGAAAGTGTTACACAGTTTGTGGCGCCTGTGCAAGCCTCCATTAAATTGTCCTGGACCCCGAGAAGCCTTCGAGGAAGCCCAAAGAGAGCCCCAAAAGGGGCTGTGGCGCATGGTTCAACTCCGACAGACGGGGTTGGATGCAGCACCTTCCGACGCCTTCCTGGGGCCCGCGTCGCGGACGTGTCGGGCCCCAGAGCTCGCCCGGAAGAGCCCCCAAGGTGCCCGAAGGGAGCCTCGATGGAGGGCCCACGAGGGGCACAAGACGGCCAAGCAATCTTTCACACAGGAGGCCCTTGTTTTGTTGGGGGGGGGTGGCGCTCTAGGCGGGCTTCCTTCAAGCTTTCCTGGACCTCACGAAACCTTCGAAGGGGCCCTAAGGGAGCCCTAAGAGACCCTTTTTTGAAAAATGCTAGAAAATCCCTGGTTCAGCACAGCTTGGCGGAGCTGGGAACGGTATGTTCCAATGTTTTCTTGGGGCCATTTTCAATCCCGCTGTCGTCAACTGTTCCGCTTTTCCCCGGTGCCCGCTTTCGCATCTTGATTTTTTGTTGCGAACCCCATTCAGTGTCAACGGAGCCGACCGCAACGACAGCGCAACATCACGAGCGTGGTTACTTTTGGAACGGGGCGTTTCTACCGTATGGGCACATATTTTGGGCCAAACTCATACCATCCACGTGCCAAGTACATGGCAACCAAAACGCATTGTAAACTTAAGCGAAGTAATGGTTATGTTGCCCACTGTCTCTGGACGCTCTACCAGCAACATAGTTAGCCGCTCTCAGAAACACCACACAATCATGGCCACCGTGCTTCAAGATGCCCCGTGCGCTGTGATGTGGAGGGGGGCGAGAGAGAGAGAGAGAGGTCGAGAGAGAGCGAGAGGAAGAGGGAATGAAAGGGAACGAGAGAAGCAGGAAAGACAGAGAGAGAGTGTGTGAGGAGCGCTTTTCTGCCCTGCGCTCGAAAACCTTCAATACGATTTGCACCAAAGCGGCCGCGGTGCACCAAACCCCCGAAGCGTAATCATGTCTCTGGGGTCGGGGCCGGTTCCTTTTGCCAGCCTCCTCGGGCGCGCCCTCCCTTAGCTGAGGAAGCGGCCGCCGAAAAACGACCGCCGCCGCGGGAGTGGGGAGGAGGGGGGGAGGGAGTGGGAGGAGGGGGGGAGGGAGGGGGGGGGAAGGGGGGGAGGGGGGGAGGGATGGAGGGAGGGAGGGAGGGAGGGAGGAGGGAGGGAGGGAGGGAGGAGGGAAGGGAGGAGGAGGAGGAGGAGGAGGAGGAGGAGGAGGAGGAGGAGCAGGTATGTGGCCTTCCGCCGCGCTCCCGCCGCGCTGCCGCACTAGGCACCGCAACCATGCTCAAAGCTCGGCCTCGGGCCCCCCCGGGAGCCCCGAGAGGCGCTCCAGAGGCCCCAAACAGGCCTCCAAGAAGGCCCCGAGAGGCCCCAGCAGGCGAGGAGGAGGAGGAGGAGGAGGAGGAGGAGGAAGAGCTCTCGAGAGGCCCCAACAGGCCCCAAAACGTCCCCCGAAAGGCCTCAAAACTGTTTCCAGGAGGCCCCCGAGAGGCCCCCCCCCCGAGATCCCGATGGACATCCCATAAGCTTCATACCCACAACCCAGGCCCCAACAAGCCCTCAAGAGGCCCCAGCAGGCCCCAAAACGTCCCCCGAAAGGCTTCAAAACTGTTTCCGTGAGGCCCCCGAGAGGCCCCCCCCCGAGATCCCGACGGGCATCCCATAGGCTTCATGCCCACAGCCCAAGCACGGTGGCGGCATGGGCCGAAAGGCCACCGAAAGAGAGAGAGAGAGAGAGGGCGAGGGCGAGGGCGAGGACGAGGGAGAGAGAGAGAGAGAGAGAGAAAAAAAAAAAAAATGAAACATCGACGGTGGACAACATCCCTTTTCGCAAACCCCCCCTTACTGAAAGCGGCCTGGGACCGAAACCGACGAACCTGGACCCGCAAAAATGACGGCCGCGACGCCCTCTCGCGAACCGAAAACGGCCAAGTCCTTAATCGTCACGTCAGGGAAGGAGGTCGGTCCACCTCCAAAATAAAAAAAAGAAGGGAAGAGAGGGAGAGAGAGAGAGAGATAAAGAGAGAGGGACAACAAAAAAACGCGAAAGCAAACATGGCGGCGCACAGCAGCTAATGTGCACTTACGAAAGAGGAGAGAAAGAGAGAGGGCGAGGGCGAGGGCAAGGACGACGGAGAGAGAGAGAGAGAGAATGGGTGAAAGAGAGAGAGAGAGAGAGAGAGACGAACAACAACAACAAAAAACGCGAAAGCAAGCGTGGCGGCGCACACAGCAGCTAGTGCCGCGGCCCGCCGCCCCTCCGGCAGGCCAGGTCAGTATTGGTGTTGGCGTCAACCTCCAGGCCTGCGACGAAGGCGAAGACGAGGGATTTGGATTGCGCTTTGACTCGCCGAGGAGACGGTCAGCTTGGCGCGGCACTCCCTAGCCGCTGGCAAAAACACGCGGCATCTCGCAGCACGGGCGCCAAGGTTTGGTGAAACTCCCGCCCCCGTCACCTAACCCGTACCCATAATCATCCTCCTTCACGGCCAGTGCGGCGGCCCTGGAACGGCGGCACGCTAACATAGAGCAGGGTGCTCGGTACTGCTAGCATCAACGGCTATTCGGACCTGGAGGTGGAGGGAGGCGGGAGGGAGGACATGATAAGAGGGAGGAGGAAAGGCTAGGGCACAGACCACGTCTGCTACGCGCAGCTTCTAAAGAATAGACCTGCGCACCACTGGCCCGGTGAGGGAAGAAGGATAGTTATCTTCGCACCCATGCAAGGCACAACGCGATTATCTGCACGCCGGAGCAAGGGCGAGGCGAAGCTAGGCCACGGCCAGATCAAGCTAGCCATTACGGCGATATTCCGGGCTCACACTTACAGCACGAGCGGGGACAAAGTGCAAGGCAGTGCCGAACAGAGAGTACAACCACAGTGCAAGTATGAATGTCAGCAGTCTGCACCACCTCCATGCCATAGGCCAGCAGCTGGGCCGCCAGCGGGCCGCACAGAGAAGCGACCACCGTGTCTGGGGCAACCGGCCGCGCGGGAGGGGGAAGGGGGGAAGGAAGGAGGATAAATCTGCGAGGACAGGTAGGAAGGAGGGGGAAACATACTTGCGGTTAACATACCTGCATGCACGACACCTTTTCCTGGAACATCCACGCACGATTGTACCAATACGTTGCTACAGATAGCCACTGATTCAAACCCTAAGCCTAGGGAGAGGGCTTCTGACAGACGTCCGGCGCCATTCGCTCCACTCACGGGAGGACGCGACACCCTCGGCTAAAAAATCATCTGCGTCATCTGGTCTGCGCGGGCGGGGTGGCGGCAGCGGGAGAGGCCCAGGCTGCGCCCACCAACGTTAGCATTGATCACACAACCACCTCACGGGCGAAAAATCTGGCTCACGGCGCACTGTATACCTGGGAATTGCCACGACTGGGATGCGCTGCGCTCGGGCCCATGCCCACTGCAAGCCTAGCCGGTGAAAAGGAGGTCTGCTGGAGGGCAGCGCGATTATTCGCACCGCGGTAGCCATACTGTGGGGCGCGCGCTCAGAGCCTCGGGGGCTCGGGGGCTCGGCTTCAGCAGGAAGCGGATCGGGGAGTCGCGCACGAGCATCGGTGCCAACACCCTCCGGATCGCTAGCGCGGGCGCAAGGACAATGAACATCACCAGGTGGTCCGCGATCCGCAGCCACGGCCTCGGCAGAGGCAGGTCCGGACGAGGCGGCCTCAGACGCCGCTGGCATTGGAGCCTCTAGGGACGCAGCACCAGCAGGCGACCTGTCGCCCGAGCGGCTGACAGCAGCACCTTCTCTGCGAGCCGCGGCATCGCCTGCGCCGCGCGGGCGCGCGAAGTCCTCGGAGTCGACCGTGGAGCACGAGCCGCTCTCAGCGGACCCGACCGCCACCTGCCACCCGCGGCTGTCAGGCCTGCTCTCGGCGGACTCGTCCGCGCCGTGGATTCGCTGAATGGGAGCCGCGGTTTCATCGAGCGTCTCCTCAGCTGCAGTCTGGCTCTCCTCCACGTCCAAAGCAGCAACAGTGCGCTTCGGAGCGGTCTGCCCGCACCTGCATACGTCTCTGGATAGCGGCGGCGGCAGCACACGGAGCGGCGGCAGCAAGCTCGAAGAACTCGGCGAGGTAGGTGGAGGCGGCGCTGGCGACGGCCGCGGCCACCATACCGGCGCGGCGGAGGCCGGGGGCGGCAGCGCAGTCGGCAGCTGGCACCAAGTGGCCACCACCGCATCGGCGCCCGCCTCGGCCTTCCCACTCCCAGGGACGAGCTGAACAGGGCGACGGGTAGGAGGCAACTCAGCACCCAGACAGTCGGCACGAACAGCTTCACCCAGATGACCGGCATGGACGGTTTCATCGCCTCCAGCCGTGCCCAGAAGATCGGCGCGACCAGCGCCATCAGCACGATCAGGACGAATAGCTGCATCAAGGCGATTGGCAGGAACTGCTCCATCACATTCATCTGCACGGCCAGCGCCATCAGGGCGATCGGCACGAACATCCACCTCCAGACGATCGGCACGAACTGCATCCCCACCAGCTGGGCCCTGCAGGTCGGCACGACTGGCGCCATCAGAGCGATCGGCACGAACAGCTGCATCCAGACGATCGGCATGAACAGCGTCATCTCCTCCAGCGTCACCCAGAAGATCAGCACGAACAACTCCGGACGAAGGTGTAGCCGGCGGCGATGGTACGCATCTATCCTCAAATGTCGGAGGCGCGTGCGTCGGCGGAGGGCCCACTAGCACTAGCACTCGCGGCCGCGGAGCAGCATCACTAGCAAGCCCATCAGCACTTGCAAGACCTGTAGCACGATCATGAGGCACGCAAGGATGGACGGGTTGGGGAAGAACGCCTCGACGTGGCTGGCCACCGCAAGCGTACGCCAGCGCGGCCACGTCGCCCATCCGGCGGCCGACTCGGGCCGCGTAGCCGAGCGAGCCTTCGCACGGCGGCGCGAAGGGGCGGCCTCGGCAGGCAGCAGCCACGGCGCCCGCCGGTAGCATCTCGCGGCGCGCGGTCGCCCTCGGCACCTGGCCGGCCCGGGGCGGCGCGCACAGGCCCTGGCCCCCCCCCGTGGGAAATGTCCCCACCGGGACCAAAGCCTGAGGACGAGGGAGAGAGAGAGAGAGAGAGAGAGTCAAAAAAGAGAGAGAGAGAGAGAGAAGAAGAAGAAAAAAAAAAAAACGAGAGAGAGAGAGAGACAAAAACAACAAAAAAAAAAAAAAAAAAAAAAAAAACGCGAAAGCAAGCGTGGTGGCGCGCACAGCAGCTAGTGCCGCGGCCCGCCGCCCCCTCCGGCAGGCCCAGGTCCAGGGCGTACGTGGCCCTCGGCTCCGCGTCGTCGGCGGCCCCGCCGTCCGCCACCCTCGGGGCGGAGGGTGGGCGCCGCCGTGCCCTCGGCCCCGCCCTCCCCCAGCAGGAACATGGGGGGAGGAGCATGTCAATAGGGGGCCACATGCGACCCCCCACCCCTGCCCCCCACGATTTCTGAGGGGAAGGGTGGGGTTCACTTCGCTGGGGAGCTCCCGAACGAAGTGAACCCCACCCTTCCCCTCAGAAATCGTGGGGGGCAGGGGTGGGGTTCGCATGTGGCCCCCTATTCAAGGGGCCCTGGGACTTAGTGGGCCCCGAAAACGGCAGGGCCGTGTTTTCACCGTTTCCGAAAAAGGGTCCCTTGAAAATGGAAACGGCAAAAAAAAACGGCGACCGGAAACGGCAACAAAAACGGCTCCAGGATTGGAACCGGGGCGGGAGCCCGTAAAAGAACGGCGACGGAACCGGTAAAAAAAACGGCGTCGGACCGGCAAAAATGCGGCAAAACGGAACCAGTGAAAAAACGGCCTTGCCGTTTCCAGGACCCACTATGCCCTGGGACACACAAATAAATGCACACAAATCCCAGGATTCCCCGTAGTTTCCCCTTGTCTTCTTGGTTTTCGTCTTCCCCCCACTTCCCATATGTTCTGGGGAATCGACGATGAATTGTGTCTGTGTGTTTTCCTCCTCCTGAATATTGGAGGCCTGGAAATGGGCACCCATCAGGAACAGGAAAGGGAACTGAACTCTATAAAACCGATGTTTTTGGCGGCCCTGTACTGACAGTCGCATAAGAACGCGGATCCTGGTGTGTACGGGACCCTGGTGTATAGATTCGTCATTTCCCCGGGAAAACGGGGAAAGAAGTATACACCACACCACCCCGACGTCGTCCCTGACCCTCAAAATAGTCCTGGGATTGAAAAACAGCCCGCCACTGGTAATGTATATGTTCCAGTTTCCAAACAGGGAAGGAGGAATATTGGAGGCCTGGAAATGGGCATCGACACCAACACAGGAGGTTTACCTCCATAGGGGGAAGACGATCCTAGACTTCGGTGTTGGTGGTAATAGTTCGGCCACCTGGGAAGCCAGAATATTACCACCACCACCACCACCACCGAGATCGGGATCTTCTTCCCTCGGTGGAGGGATTCCGCCGATATTGGTGTTGGTGTCAACCTCTAGGCCTGCGAGAACAACGAGGAAGTGGGGGGAGGGAGGAGGAAGCGGGAGCAGGTGGGAGGAAAGGCAGGGAGGGGGCTTGACCCGATGCGAGCAGGGCTGCACGCATGCCTCCGAAGGGCCCCTCTCCTCCTCCTCCTCCTCCTCCTCCTCCTCCTCCTCCTCCTCCTCCCTCCTCCTCCTCCCCTCCTCCTCCTCCTCCTCCTCCTCTCCTCCTCCTCCTCCTCCTCCTCCTCCTCCTCCTCCTCCTCCTCCTCCTCCTCCTCCTCCTCCTCCTCCTCCTCCTAATCCTCCTCCTCTCCTCCTCCTCCTCCTCCTCCCTCCTCCTCCTCCTCCTCCTCCTCCTCCTCCTCCTCCTCCTCCTCCTCCTCCTCCTCTTCGTTTGGCCAGGTACCCCTGGGACAGGCCTGGCAAGCGGTGCTGGTCCTGAGGGACAGGCGGGGAAGGAGGAAAGCTGGCCACAGGGAAGAGAAGAGAAAAAAACACGCGAAGGCCAACAGATGAGAGACAATACCACGCGAGAAAATACCACGCGAGAATACCACACGAGAAAATACCCGAAGAGAAAAGGGAAGGAAAAAAGCTGGTTACAGGAAACAAGCTGGCTACAAGGAGTGGCCAAACTCACGCGAGGGCATCAGCCGCCACGGCGAGCGGCAGTGTAGTGCATTACCGCCCGCGCACTAGTACCAAGACGGCAGCTGTTGGCTCGCTTGCGAGTGGGAAGGGGGAGGATGATAGGCAGACTGAAGCTGCAAGTAGGAGGAGGAGGAGGAGGAGGAGGAGGAGGAGAACGAGGAGGAGAGATGAATCTGCAAATGTGTAGCCGAGCCTAGACGGAGTGAGTCAGCCGAGTGGGCTGCCTGAGCTGACTCTTCCTGTCGTGCCGCAAGTGGTGGCAGGCCGTTTGGGGGCTGCTGCGGAGAGACTCGTCCCGGTGGCTCGAGCAGGCATTGTTGCTGCTGCCCCCCCTACTGCTGCGCCTGCACGCGGTGCAAAGGAGCGCGCGAGCGAGTGCTAAGGCATTGGGATTGTGTTGGCTGCGGCAACAGGGCCGTCAAGCACTACAGTCGGGGCGTTGACCTAAGGAACGATAAATAAGGAACGAGGCCCCTTTTATCCCAAGGAATAACGCATAAGGAACGATAAATAACAAATCAAGCATAAGGAACTGTAAATAACGCATGCAAACCTAAGGAACGACCGAGCCCCTTTTGAAAAGTAAGTGTTCCTTATTCAAGCCGCTCACTGTACTGCAGTTGCGCCTGAGATGGAACGCTGGTTGGCATTGTCTGCTGTTGCGTGCGGGCGGGCATCAAGAACGAACTCGCGAGCACAGAGAGCAGGCAGAGCGCAGACAGTCGCGCTCTGCGGGGCGGAGCCGTACGCGCGAGTGGTGAGACATCTGGCGCTCGTAGCTGCGATGCCCCTACCATCATGTACTGCTGTTGCTTCGCTGGCGCGTGGACAGGCGCCGAAAGAAGCGTGACACTGGCACAACAGCGCGAAGGAGCGAGCGAGCGAGCGTATCTTCTACCAGTCCTTCAGCGATGGCTTGCCACATCCCACGACCCAGGCTCCACAAAACACCATTTACTACCGCCCACGTGTCAAGGGTTTCCTATAGCAAGTACGGTCAGGAACTTGTGCTTAGCGTGTCGCCGCACGCTGTGCACTACAAACAGATAGCGTGTCGCTCCGCTAGGGCCAGACATGCGGAAAAGTTCGGGACACGGACGCATGGGGACAAGGATAGTGCGTCGCGCCGAGGCGTGGTGGGCCAGAACCAGCGGAGCGACACGGTATCCAGCGGTTTCCGACCGTACGGGGGGGAACTTGGGAGGGTGGTGGGGGTCTCCTGATGCGATCGAGGCCAGGGCATATGTCAAGTGCGCACTCGCGCGCGAGGGGCATCGGTACATACGCCCTTTTTCTGGGCCCTCGGTGCGGGCCACCTTGCCCTAAACAAGCGCATCAACATACTCTAGTTTTTAAGCGTTTCCCACTTGTCGTTCCCGCGCGCCCGCTCGTGCTCGCGCCGCCGCTCGCCAGTGCCTGCTGTTGACCGTGCTCCGCTGCTCGTGTCCTGCGTTTTTGGCTGACTGAGCAGCGGTCTTAAGACGCAAAGGCCATCCCTGCCAATGTCTGGCCGCCCCGCCCAGCCGCACCTGGCGCCAATCGGGACGACCCGTTCCGCCCTGGTGCCCCGCGCGCGCGCCCAGCGGCCGACGGACCACCAACGATGGCGCGCGGCCCCCCTGGGGGCTGAGCCCCACGCACGGCGGCCTGAGCCGAGGCGGCCACGGAACGGGGAGTGAGTGTAAGAGAGAGATGCTGAGCAAGAGGAGGGGAGAGAGGAGGCGGAGGAGGAGGAAAAAGAGGAGGAGGAGGAAGGAGGATGGAGGAGGGAGGGGAAGGAAGAAGGAGGAAGGAAGAGGGAGGAGGGAGGAGGGAGGAGGAAGGAAGGGAGGGAGGATGAAGGGAGGTAGGATGGCGGAAGGAGGGAGGGAGGGAGGGAGGAGAGGGAGGAGAGGGAGGGAGGGAGGGAGGAGGGAGGAGGAGGGAGAAGGGGGGGAAGAGGGAGGGAGGAGGAGGGAGGTGGTAGCGGGAACGATTTGCATGGACATGAATGGACCAGAAGTATGCTCATCTGGAGATGCTGGCAGCTGATGAAAGCCCCCAACTCGTGATAATTGAGGTGAGTGCGAGCCTGGGGAAACCACCGTACAAGCAAACTACTGTATGCTCTGAGGAACGATCCTTCTGCGTCGCCTCTCCTTGGCGGCTGCTCGACTCGCTGCGATTCGGGCCACCTGCTCTGGCAATGACTCCAGAAGGGGTGCGTGGGGAGGGAGAGGGGGGCAAGGCGCGGGGGGGTGGGGCCAGCCGCCCTCGGGGTGTTTGTGAGGGGGGGGGTTCGTCGTTCGAGTCGTCGACTTCATCATGCGTTTGTCGTCGTCTCTGGCGTCCCAGTTCCCAGCGCCCCACCTTTCCCTGGGCCCGTCGCCGCTCCTCCCCCCTCTTCACTGGGCTCTTCCCCTCAAGCGCGCCAGCCCCTGCGCAGTCAAGTGCGCCAGTTTAAGCGAAATTCAACAATGTCGTATTTGAGTCGAAGGGAATCCCTTTGATCCCTCACCCACCAGGGCGGGGGGGGTCCTAAAGGAGTCCCGACGGGGGTCCCGGGGGGACCCCGACCCACATACGATTCCCCCCCCCCCGGGCGGCTCCCGGGCCTGGACCCGACAAAACCCCCTGGCCAAGAGGGCCCCAAGAGACCCCCAAAACGGTCCAAGAAAACCTCGAATCGCCTTGAAGGCCTCCAGACGTCCACAAGGCCTTCAAGGCGCCCCAAGAGGCCTCCAGGAGCACTCACAAAAGGACCCCAAGGACCCCAACATTTCGGCGTCGTCGCCTCTTTCGCTTTCCGACGCTCCAAGATGGCCCAAGAGGCCCCCCAGATCGCCCCAAGACGGCTCCAGATGCCTCCAGGAGGGACCCAAGACGGCTCCAGAGAACTCCAAGACGGCCCAAGACGCATCCAAGATGGCCCAAGAAGTCCCCAAGACGACTCCGAGCTAATGCCCGAACGAGGGACCAGAACGGACATTTCGAGCCCTCGGCCCCGAGAAGCTCCCAGGAGAAACCACGAGGCCCCCAAAGGCCCGCAAGAGATCCCAAGAGGCCCCAAAGAGCGCCCCAGGAAGCCCCGAGACGCCCCCAAGAGACTCCCAAGCGACCCCCATGAGCCTCCCAAGAGGACCTTAAACTGCCCCCCAGAGGCCCGCAATAGCGTTTCGCAAAGACCCAAGGAAGCATCCCTGAGGACTCCCACCCACGTCAACGCAAGATGGCCCAAGAGGCCCC